GGCTAGACTCTAAATCTTTTTACCCAATTTACCTTGAACTTCAACTATCTTAGACTCATAATATTCATAGTCGTCTGCTTTCTTTGGTTCATAAGGTATAACAAGTTTTGTATTTGCCTTCTTTAAGGTTTGAAAACCTTCTGTCAAAACTTTCTTTGACTGCTAACAAACCTTCTATGTCTAAGTCTTCAAATTTCGCACCGTTTTTAGTCACAATAGCAAACTTAACTGGTTCGATGTTCCAAACTTTGCTGAATGAAGACTTTTCAAAATGTAGAAGTAAACATTCAATATGTGAATGGGTCTAGTTCTTCTTTAAGTCCTGACATGTACTTGTTTACTGAGATGAATTTTGCCAATCTTTTCTATCGGATAAAAAAATATTTTTTTAAATTTACTCAGAAAATTTTTCTTTGTATATACACATTTCTGTACGTCTAAAAGACTTTTGACATTTGCCAAGAATGTTCGTTTAGACGCTGTCATATAACCATATCTTGACAATATTGTTTATACGAATCGTACAATGACCTTTCATCTAAACACTCAAAGTCAGTTTCATCTATGAACAGTTCATATACACTCTTGTTTGCTTCTAACAATGTTTGTCTCTCTTCGGTATGTGGAATTTGTCTTGGATTGAACTTAGAAATATCTAATGTCATAAAATATGAGAACAAGTGGTTGTAAAAGTCAGATGTCAAAGTTTCTGCTAAGTCGTCAAAATATTCTGTATCTTGCATATGAGCTTCTGACGTTCTGACAACTACATATCTTCTGTCAGAACTTTCTAACTTCATCGAACAGAATTGTTTGAAACCATAATGAAGTTTGCAACATTTTCACAAACTCTTTGGTCTTTATATTTCTTTCAACAACTCCAACTTTGTCTGTTATAAGACTCTTCAAAGCATCTGAGTTCAAAACTTTTGTTGTATCTATACTTTGAAGTTCATTGCAAACTATAAGTTTCATATTCTCTATTGAGGAGTTAAACTTGCCACAGATGTTTTCTAAGTTTGTCATATTCGGGTTCGAATAGCCTTCTAACAGTTTGCACAAAATATCTGTAAAGAATGTTTCTTACCAGTTCCTTGTTTCCAATTATAATGAGAGCAGTTTCATTCTTAGCACTTGGATGTTGTAAGATGTTTGCAAACCAACATAAGATATACTCATAGACTCTTTCGTTTCCATTGCATATAATTTCTTTGACATGGTCTAAACCAAGCTTCTATAATATTTTCTTTCCATTCTACTTGTTCGTATTTATATCCAGTGAAGATAGAATAGAAGTTTGGAGAAGGTGTATAGAACTTTATACCTCGAACTGAAAAATCTTCTAACTTTGACAATCAGATATCCCAAGCATCTAACATCTTCATGCCAACTTGTACAACTTTTATTTTCTTAAGTTTCTGTCTACATTCTTGTTCTGAAACTATTGTCGCTTTAGGTTTGTTAAAGACTACATCCCATTCTTTCATGACATAACATTCTGGGCAGAGTCGACATAAATGACTAAACGTTTCAAATTCTCGACTGCTTTGTTATAGTCTCGAAATGGACACATATTTCTGAATGCTTGGAAGTCATAAAAATCTGAAACATCTATTCTGTACATTTTTATAAAAATAAAAAAAAATATTTTTTTTATTCTTGACTTTGTTGTTGCATTTGTTGCATTTGTTGTTCTTGAGCTATTTGTTGTTGAAGTTGTTCTTGTAATACAATACTTTCACCAGTTGCATCTTCCAATTCGAAACTTTCTGCCGTCATTGACAAATACATAGGACATAAAAGTTTTACAGGAACAAAGTTTGCGTCAACTAATGTCAACGTTATACTTGCCAAAGTGTTTGAGTTCACTAAGGTTGAAAATTCTGCATTCGAATGAACAATAGGCAAACCAGCAGAGAAAGTATTGTTTATACGCATAAGTATCTTTTGGTCATAATAGTTTCTGTCGACATTCGAATAACACTTTGAACCTAAGTTTGAAACAATAATATATAAGATTGGTGTGCTTAATGTCAATGGAATAGACATTCCTTGTATGACACCTTTTCCTGTTATAGGAAACTGTTGGTAGTAAAAACCAGAAATAAGTTTTGTATTATAGCTCATATCGTTTATAGTAAACTCAGTCGGACATCCAAACATAATGAAACCTGCTCTAGTTGCAGCACATGTTACACCCGTACTTAAAGTATTAAATAAGTCAACAAAACCTGTTGGTGGTATATCTGAGTAAGTATCTTCAAAGGAGTATTTTTTACCATTCACAACAATAAAGTCTTCTGGTGTCAAAAGAGCAAAACAGGCTTTAGTCGTCATTGTGTTTAAGTTAGTTTACAATATCGTCCTTGAGGACTTTGTAAGTTTGTTGTTATAGAATTATATGACTCAGGGTTTTTAGTCGTAATAGTATAAACCATTATATCTTCTGCCATTTACTTAGCAAATAAATTTTAATGAAATGTTGTGGTCGTCAAATATTTTTATGACGTCTGGGAAACTATACTTTAAGTTCAACGTTTCACCTCCTTTCATAACGTATATCTTGTCAATGACATTATATGAAACACCACAGCAACTAATGTCGGTTCTATTTCTTTGATGTTTATATCGTCTGCCTCTGTCAAAAGTTTCAATAGTTCTTTCAAAACTTCATGAGGTGCAATGACATATGAGTTCACTTTTACAGGGTTGTGTTCGACCAAGTTTAACATTATACTTAAAGCTTGACAAATCTTCTCCTGAGTTTGAAGTTTGTCTTTCAGTTGGTAGTCGTTTCGAATATCTGCAACAGAACTTAAGTCTCTGTTAACTTCAGGATATGTTGTTCTTTTACAGGAACAATTGTTATACCATCTTTGTCTTCGTATGGTTTCCCCACTTCAACATCTCTGTCTTTGACATTGACAACAACACTTTGACTGTTTGTTTGAGTTGGTGAATTTAACTTCACATCTGCCACCGCCATTAAACCTTTTGAAACACTCACGCTTCTATTTTCGGAAATGACATTTTACTTAGAATAAAAAGATGGACGTATTCGAGTATCTCTTCGAATTGAAGCAGAACAAAGTTTATACTCACAAAACAATACAAATACATTGACAGAATAGTTCTTTACACAAACAATGGAAAATGTTATAGAATAGCAGTCTTTGCTGAACCAAAATATTTTCATAAAGCAAAGAAAGTTGGTATAACTGAAATGGTGAAAGTTCTTGACGTTGACAAAAATATAACAACAAAACTTACAGATATTTCTAAAGGTAAGTTTATCTTACAATATTATGTCAAAACTGGCGTACTGTCAATATTTGACGGAGAGAAGTCAGTTCAAGAACAACTTACTGACCTGCTGCCAAAATCTGCTCGATGGAAGCTGTCGTTATGCCAATCTGAGGAGCCCAGCAGGTTTCATCGAACGAATCTTCAAAAGAGCATCTTCCGTGAAAAGTGCTATTGGTTTTGTAAACTTCTTTGCTCTCAGTTCATCTGGACCGTCTCTGTCACCAGTATATTGTATTGTACAGTACCAACAGTTGAAATACCACCCATAAAGTCTTCTGAGTCAGCAAATGGAATGCCAAGCCAAAAGTTTGAACGGTCTCCATTTGTATATTGAGTTTTTTGACCTCCTGTATGAGTCCATACTTTCACATATGGCATAATAGAACTTTGCATTTCAGGGTTAATGGTTGTTGTGAAGTTGTTGTTAAAGTTCATAGCATCTAATGTCAAGTTGTATGACCTCATATCCTCAACTGTAGAATATTCTTCTCTTGGATAATATTTGCCATCTATGTTTATATGATATTTAATACCGGGGTTGTAGAAACAAGAATAGTCATTTATAGTTCGTCTGAACAGTACAAACATAGTATCTGCATGTTTCATTGCAGTTGTTAAAGCAATATCTGTTCTTGCACCTGGGTCAGCACTTTGGTTTCCAACTTCACCTGCAAAGTCTTTGACAGATATTTGGTGTATAGGGAACATAAGTGGAACTGCAATATATTTGGCAGCTAAAGCATTTGAAATATCTGGGTCCAACATATAGACTGCAAGTCTGCTTTCTATTCTCTTGCATTCAAACTTTTCGCATGTGAACTTAACTGGGTCCCAAGCAGTTCCAGCAGCATTGAAATAATAGTTTACTTCATTGTTGAGGTTTGAGAAACCAAAGTCTAAGTCAACTTTGTCTTTGCAAAATTCGGCGAATGACGTTTGATTTGTTCCCTTTACGTCTGTAATAGTGAATGGGTCTTGTGTGTGTGCAATGACTAAGTTATTTTTGCTTGGAGTAAGTTCGATAGAAATTTTTCCTGCCCAGTTTGGCAAGTATCTTAAAAACCTGAAGATGAGGAAAGATGACAAAGGAACTCTAAGTTTCAGTTTTACTTTAGTGGCAGCAGTTCCATCTGAACCAGAAAGGTTAACATAAACTCCTGGAACGTTAGGGTCAAGTCTTCTTATTTTCTCAATATTTGCATACTGGTCTGTTTGTTCTCTAGCTTGTGGTTGTACTGAGTTTCTCAAAGCGAACCATTCATAGTTTGCCCATGTTACTGTTTGAACTAAGTCAGAGTTAGAATATATCTTATATCCCATGAAAACTTCTGGAGCATATTGGTATCCGACATAGAAAATTCCATTGCAACCTTTCTTGTCAGACAACTTGGCAGAAGGTTTTATTCAATGTCTTGTTCCACGTATAAGAATGAGTTGTCAATAGAAATAATATGAAACCTGTCGCAAGCAATATCTACTGTTGTTGAAGAACCTTCTCCAAACTCACCTACGTTTCCATAAGAAACAGCAGTTGTATATTCGTAAGTTCCAGGAACTATTTCTGACCTTCTAATGGCATTGTCGCATTCGTTATACCATTCGGAAACATTTCCGTTCATGGCATCCAAAACTGTTGGCGTTATATTCTGAGCGGCGTACATTTCATATGGGTAAAAAATATAGAATAGTTGGATTTATTTGTCATAATAGAACCCACTCGGACCAAGCTTTACTTTCTTCCTGACTGAGTTTTTAACTCTTCTTTTTCCTTCATTGCCACTACTTTCACTAGATGAAGTTACTTCTTCACTACTTTCACTTTGTTCTACTCTTCTCTTCTTCTTTGGTGTCGCTTTTGGTAACTTGCCCTCTGCTTCAAGTTGTTGCATCTTTGCCTCATGTTCACCTAGTATGTTGTAAATTTCCCATGTCCTTTTTGCCTTTGGGCTCTGGTCGCCCATCTCAGGTAACCTATATCCTAGAAAGATTTTGTCATAGTTTGTATTTGAGTCTTCGCGTATTGTTTGCATGACTCTTTCCTGAGTTTCCGGTTCAAGCTCTTCAAACAGAGCTTGTCCATATGGAATAAGCTCGTTTCCAAATATATGTTTTTGTAGCCATTCTGGTTTTCTTTCCATGTTACCAATAATATCTTTTGTGAATGGGAAAGCTTTTACCCAATGTTTCAGTCTTGCGTCATTTATTTCTGTAGTTGGTTTTATTTTGTCAAGGAACATGTTTTTCAATACTAACATTTCATTTGGTACTGTCCATTTGAGTTTTCTTAAATATTCATCCCTTCTCAGTTCATTGTCTGCAAAGTAAGTTTTTATGACATTTTGTAAACTTTCGTTTGCAAGGTCATGTACAATAGGTTCTCTTCCTTCTATCTCCTAACTTTCTTTCTAAACTCTTCACCAAATATACCATCTCTATGGTTCTGTGTAGTTCTTTGAGATAAATGTTCTAGAACGTCAGGTGTTATATTTCCATCAGCCATGTTCATTTCATACTGGTCCAAATATCTGCATGTTTCATATCTTTCAATGGCATTAAAGCCGCGCTGAAAATACCAGCTATATCTGGTTCACCATTCACTTCCATTGCGTCTACAACTTCTTGGAATTGTGGTTGTAAGTTTATGAACCACCTATCCGGATTAGCTTTATGGCCCCATCTCATTGTAGTTCCATAGTCTGCAGAAACAAAAGTAGGTTTGTTTCCATATTGGTTAGGTTCTGAATGAACTTTAAACAATGTTTCATTTCTATATGTTTTGGTGAAATTTAACCTTTTATTTTCACCGAGTTCAGCCAAAGATTGAACGTTATATGGTCGTAAGTAAAAAGGATTGTTGTATTTGCGTACACTTTCTTTCAGTTCTTCCATTCTATGCTGAATATTTTCATCTGATGTTGGAGTCTTTTGTATGTCGGCGAACATTTTTCGATATTCTTCTACTATGTCAGCCGAATTTTTCTTAGACTCTTGGAAAGATTCCATATTCTCCGCATACTCTTGTTGAGGGTCAAGATTTTTCGGCTGTTCCAAATCTTCATCTAGTTCTGTGAAGTTAGTTTCCAAAGGAGGGACTTGTTCGTTTCCTTCAGGCTCTTCTAGCTGTTGTTGCTGAACTATTTCTTCCATGTCTGGTTGTATCTGAACTTCTTCCTGTGGAGTTTCTTGTACCTCATCTGCTGGCATTTCATATATTCCGAGACCGTTTTTAACAAGTTCCCTATTTAAGCCATCCGCATTCATAACCCTTTCTTTTTTCGTTCCGTCTCTATTTTTTACGCGTTTCATGAAGAGAGTTGAATTATCATTTAGCTCTGACACCAAATATCTCGGAGTAAATTCATCCATGTCATTTGGATGATATGCTATTAAATCATATCCCTTAGCGAGCTTGTATTTTCCAGGTTTGAAATTATATCCCATTTGGTGCTGAACCATAAAGCTAAATAGGTTCGGGTCAGTATTTCCTTCCTTGAACTTTCTAATAGCTTCTTTATATCTGTCACTAAAGTCAAGAGTATCTGGGTAACCATAATTTTCCTTAAGCATTTTTAAGAATTCTTGGTTTCCTTGTTCTCTACTTCTTTTATGTCCTTGCTCTGTTTGTGGTTGTTGTGGTGCAGTGTTTTGAACTGTTGGTTGTGGTGCAGTGTTTTGAACTGTTGGTTGTTGTGCTGGATTTTGAACTGTTGGTTGTTGTGCTGGATTTTGAACTGTTGGTTGTTGTGTTGGTTTTGGTGCATGCCTGTGTCTGTGTCCATGTGACGATGTAAATGTTTTAGGTAGTCCTGGTGCAGGTGCTTCTCTTGGAGGGTTTGGTGGTATATAAGTTCCACTAGCTAGTATATAAGTTCCACCAGCTGGTATATAAGTTCCACCAGCTGGCACATATGTTCCATCTGCAGCATAATGTCCTACCTGACTTTTCGTTTTTAAGAAAGCATTTACTAGGTCTGTTTTGGTCTGTTGTAACTCTTTTTCTTGACTTTCCACAACAGTTGCTCTAACGGCGTCATAGGCACTTTGAACTGCCTGTCTCGTTGCTGCATCTGTTATTTTCGTCATATTTTGTGCTACTTCTCTTAACTCGTTGTCGAAACCTTCAGACTTCAGTTTCTTTCCAGATGAGAAGTCGTTCACTAGTTTCACCTTACTATGAAGAGCTTCGAAGGCGTTCTTAAAGTCAGCATTCATTAAAGCTTCATTTGAACTGTCTTCATCCGCTTGTATTTTTGTCCTTATTGACCCTATAAGTTGGGCTGCTTTGGCGTTGGCTTGGGCATCTAACCAGTCATTATTAGCTTTTATATATTCTGCGCTTTTCATTGCCTTTTGCATGGCTGCGTCGTTATTTTTACTTTCTTGTGCTAAGTTTTCATACTGTACGGTTTGGTTTTGCAACTGTAAAAGTTTTTCTGCCTTTACATTTGCTTCAACTTCTTTTTTATACTCATCGCTATCCATATATGTCTTCAGGGCTTTTGTTTTATTTCTTCATCTTTCAGTACTTTATATTGAGTAGTATGGTTTTTCAAATTTATAACATCTTGTTCCATTTTTGCTACTTCTGCTGCTTTTTCTGACACTTTTTTTGCATATTCCTCTGTACTTAGTTCTTTCAGTTGTTCTTCTTTCTTCTTTTTCTCTACGTTTAACTCATTGAGTTTCTTTGTGTGTCTGTCATATTCTAGTTTCTTTTCGTTTTCACTTATTTGTTTCTGTATGTCTATGTTTGACTTTTTGACATCTGTTATTTGATTTTTGAGTGAACTCAAATTCATTTGACTTTGAGGGTTATAAGCTGTTCCGTCTGCAGCTCCACCATAGCCTGCCATTTTCGCTAAAAGTGCCGCTCTTAAACCTCCACTCTGTGCACCAATAACTCGGTTTAAAAGCATAGGGTTGCTTGACATTTGTTGCAACATAGTGGGGTCATTCATCATTTGTTGTTGCAACTGTTGTTGTGGTGTCAGTTTTACTATTGGATGTTTCAATGCTCCCTTCCTCTTACGTATATTCTTACGTAGCTTACGTGACATTTTAAGTGAAGTAAAAAACGGTTTTTGACAGATGTTTATATGACACTTTTTGTTCAGCACAAAAAACTACTCGGTCAAAGTGTTGTCAGTTTTGTAAAATAACTGTCCTATCTCATTCTATAAGGGGAAAAGGCTTCTCAAAGTATACTTCCTTGGAACGCCTGTAACTTTTCCTGTAGCGACGATAGACTCTTACTTGTCCGGACAAAGTTATACTATTTTGAGTGCTCTACAAAAAAGTCAACAGCTGGTCGGCTGGGGTTCGGTCCTCCTCTTGGGTCTTGGGAAAAATTTCTTATGGGCTAGAGGGCGCAACGCGCCTGGAAGCCCCACTACCTTTTTTTTTTTTTTTTTCGATGTAATAGATAAATCTTCGATTACGCAAATTATGAATTAAAAATTTAAATAACTCAAGAAATTTTAAAACGATTATTTATTTTATGGAAAAATAACTTCTAAAAGAGTGGTACTGTAGTCATTAGTGAAGGTACTCATAATTGAATATTAAAAATGAATGAAATGTAATGATTAATATGATTTGCAGAAAAATATATATTATACTACATATATTATATCATTTAAGGGTGCGCCCGGGAGGATCATGTAAACTTCAGAATTTAGAACCTTAATTTTTAAGCAATAACTTGGTACCTAAATAGGTAGGAAAACTCTAAAAATATCAAAAAATACAACTTGGCTCCATAATAATCCTGTCATGGTGGCTGTTTGTATCCCCTAGTATTTTCCTCTTGAATCTCTTTTTCTGTCGAAATTAAATTCAAATCTCAGAAGTAGAAGTGAATAATCGACTTATTACTGCTATTATACGAATAAATAAATTCATTATATTATTTTTATTTACATAATATCTGTTTGAAGTCCATAATTCTATAAATTTTTCTTCAAAAACATTACAATCTTGATAGTTTTGATACTGTTTAATAGGTTTTTGGCACCTTATTTAGTATTTACTACGTATAGAGTCGATCTGAACTTAATTTTCGGAAATTTAAAATATTTATTATAAGTAAAATCTGATTTGAAATTTATGTTTAACTACTCATATCTTGCATTATCTTGAGTAGCTTTTGTAAAAATTCATCAAAAAAGATTTTAACGTGCTTTAATTTTTATTTTTTAAAATAATGCATATTATTATATAACTAGCATATTTACAAATTTTAGTGCTTTCAAAAATTTAATCCTCCTCCTCTCAAATAAACGTACATCCGGGTGGCCTGTTTTTTGCAAAAAATAAAATTTCATTTTTTATGCTTAAAAAGTCGGAATTTTTATTTGCTTCTGGGATATATGATGGCTATATCATATGCCCATTCTTTTTGATACTCAACATTAAACATAAAACTTAGCCGTTAAGGCTCTTCTGAAAATATTTTTTTTCCCGAAAAATTTTCGAAAAAAATCAAAAAATTTAAAAATCCCCCAATCTGCAGGGATTTTAAAAAATTATTTTTAGTAAAACTTAAGGATATTGTATCAGATATATTGGTATGGGCAAATTCAATTTTAATCCAATATTCATCGAGATATTAAGTTAACGAAGCTTTCAAAATTGAGAGGGTAATCCTCCTCCTCTCAAATAAACGTACATGCGGGTGCACCCTGAAAACTTTTGTGCGGCTCAAAAAGCAATAAATAAATGAGCTTTGAAATTTCATGAAGTAAAATGTATAAGTAAATGATATTAATCAAATACCGTGGTTTAAATAGCTTAGATATAGATAATAATTCATTAGATCAAAATGAAACTACTACTATTGTTAATGTCCTTCTTATTCGCGTATATTTTAGGCATAATTTTTAAAGAAAACGCCAAAATAATAATATATTAATAAAAATATGAATAATGAATGCTCTAGTAACCCCGGGAACATAAAAAGTAAAATATGGAATTTGGTCATATCAACTTTTTTCATGTTTTCATTATTGATATTAAGAAAGGATTAAAATTCAAAGTTGTAAAGGAACTAATATCGGAAAATTAAAATCAAATGATAGAAAAATTGAATATTGTTCACAAAAGTTAATTCATTAAGAATTGTGTCTAATGATAAAAATTATAAAGTAAAATGAAGTTGAGGGATATCGGAGTGGATTTATATTGTCTAATTATGAAATTGATAAAATTCTTTTAAAGGGCCATTCAATATCATAAGATTTTCATCGATGACAAATATCATACTTAGAGAACATCATCGTATTATGTCATTCTGAAATTGAGCACACTATCAAAAGTGATTTATTACTGAACTTTTCAATAACCTTTACTGGATTCTTTTGGTCAGAAATTTGACATCATAATATATAATATGAATGATTCTGATGAATTATAAATCCCCGTCATGACACTTTTTACATTCTTTGTTCTCAAATTTTTGTATATAATGAAGAGTTTCTCATGAAGATAGAGAACACTTTGATATGTATTTTAAAGAAAGACCTGAATTGTATTTTATCTATTCAAGTAATACCACCTTTCCTCCGACTATAAAAAATAATAATTAAGAAAGGGATAAAATAACAGTAGTAATCGAGCAAATTACTTCAGCATCAATCATATGTCATAATGATTGCAGTTAAATTACAAAATTCAAAATAATATATTATTCTAGCAATAAGTTAAGAAAATCGAACTTTAAATGCAATATATGCCTTTTGTTGAAAATTGAATATGGAATTACAGCAAAAATGGGCATAAGAAATTGGGCATAATTTAATCAAAAAAAAAACTTATTTGAATCTAATTTTTTTGATGGTTCTTATTCAAATTATTATTTCAACATCATGATATTGCAAGAGGAATATGCGGTTTATTCTCAATTTTCGTTAAACGAAAAAATATTTATGTAAAAATCTTAATATGAATGGCATATATTATATATTAGATAGGCTTTTAAATAATGATTCAAATGAACAATAAAGAAATCCCCAAAATTTCAAAACAAAAACAATAATGTCATTATTTATTATTGAAAAATATAGATATGCAGAAGTTTACTGGAACTAAATCGAAATTTATGAAAATTTTTTTGCGAATCAATATGATTGGCGTAATAATAAAATATCTTTTAAATTTGTTTTTCATAATATTGACAAACCTATTTGTGTAATTTGTCAACTGAAATAAATAGCTGAAAAATTATTTGAAAACTGTATTGAAAACTTAGTTATTGAGATAATTAAATATTTTTACATATAAACATACAAGGCAAAATACCTGAGGATAATAGAAATAAATAGAATTCAATTAAACCGTTTTTCTCTGAAAATAATTGAAATGTAATAATCATCTAATGACTATTAAGCAGAAATGAAATATCATATGGGTCAGGTGATTGTTTTTGATCTTCTGATTCCGGGTTTGGCGATGATTGAATTTGTCCATTTTCATCAGGAAAACCTTGATTCGCAACATAAGTGAGAAAGTCTGTCCTCTTTAGCTGAGCATAAATTGGATCCCAATTTTCTGCAAACCAGCATAGTAATGCTGTTCGATTTCTTTTTGCTAGCCTATCTAGAGTTAAATCAAGCTTTCTAATGAATATTCTAGCTAAACTTAGCAATATAACTGATGTAACGTGAGTTCTAAAGTATCTATCAAGAAAATTAGATACGTATTCGATTTTGGAGCCATTTTGTTGAATCCTTGTCTGTATTCTTTCATAATCCCTTGATGATTGCGTTGATTGTTTACCACCCCTTCTAATTTTGTTTTTCATGCTTATATTTGGTGAATGATTTTTTTTATGATAATGATAAATACTCACAAAAATTGAGGCTATCGATAATCACATAATTCTGATTGTAAGTTTCCTTAATAATATTTATTTGATAATTTGATGATCCTTCCTTAATGAGCTGTTTGTACGATTATTATTCATTCAAAAGAAAAGACATCCTTTCAATTTCTAAAAAATTTAATTGATTATTTTTGAATGGATTTATTAAAAATTATTGGAATTTAAAAACTTGAGAAAGACATAGGGGTTCTATAGATTTCTTAGATTATTAAAATTTGCAAAATTTTTTTTCAAATTTTCTAAGAACGTATTCCTCAAACATACTGATAGCGCATTTACGAAGAACTGATTTTCACAAGAATTCAAAGCCATATATAATAATTATTCACATGTATATGATCACGTTTATACGTCTTTGGGTCAATATTCTTTTAAAAAATATTGAGTATAGAAACATTAATTCAAAGCATGAATTTATATGATAATGATTGTGGTTGTATCGATCACATCATAAAATGGACTGATAAATTGCAATATAGACGTATTATGTAATATATTTTCATCAAGAGCTCTAGTAAATTAATTTAGTCCGAAAAAAGCTTTTACGTTGAAGCTAGTGATTGGATAAAAAAAATATTTTATACAAAACGGATCATTCAATAATTATTTATATATTTTATCTAGGTAATAGGGAAAAAAAATGAAATTATTTTTGGGATAATGATGTACATTATCAGTGTGAATTTGAGAATTATTGATCTTGAAATTTTAATAAATATATTTTGCAGTTCAATAAATGAAAAAAGATTCCAACGGTTTTTTTCGATATTGTGTAATATTAAATGTCCGGGTATAAGAAAATATATAAATTTGAAGAAATAAATTTATTTGTTTCTAGGAAATAAGCAAAACAAGTCTGGAGAATGAAATATTATCATTGTTGAAAATGGTGATAAAATATAAGTGAAATTCTTGTCGATTTGGAAAAAAAAAATAATAATCGAATCTGAAAAATATCAAATATGGTGTCTTTTTAAAAGGGCGTCCATATACTGATTGAAATTAATTGAAATAACTCTGACAAAAAATGTGAGGGGTGTAAAAAATCAATGTGTTCTCTTGGCCGGAAAATCCTCTGAAAAATATAATCTTTATCAATTTTTTGTGAGTCAATTCAATTAATTGTTTTATTCGATTAAATGAAAAGATTTTGGTCTAGTCGGATTTGAAATAGAAATGACTCCAAATTATATTTAATTTTCTCAAAATACATAAAAATTGGATGAATTCTCATTTGAAATCAAAAAGGGTGAGTAGCAATTAGATGAATTATGTTAATAAGTGTACAAAAATAGGAGAGTATTGAAATACTGAAAGAAAAATTTATAATGCAATAGTTTTAAAATGTTGATTTCTCATATCAAAGAAAATTCTGGATCAATGGTAGATAATATTTATTTGTTAGCTCACTGATAAGGGTGTATTAATGTCTTTTGTAAAAATTTAAATCGTAACGATAAATTTAAATTAAAATAAGATTAAGATAAAGAAATGAGAATTGGTGGAATGTTCAGATACTTCAAGATATAGATAAACAAAAAATTAATTTATGGTTTAAATGTGGGAATATAATAAATATGAATTGCTTGAATGTCTAGAATAAAGAAAAATGTTTAATAAATAGATGAGCCATAAGAAAGTATTTGCATAATTTCAGGAGAGTATATAGAATAAGTTCAAAATTGATAAGGACATTTCAAAAAACAATCAATTGGAAATGAATTTTTAATTGCAGAATATTATTCAAAGGTGGATTTTGTATAGTAGTGATGAGAAAGAAGCCTGGCATAAATCAAGAGTTTTACAATTTTTGAGTGGTGTTTTGAATAACGAATGACCAAATATCAAATAATATGTAAAAAAGGAAAATAGTACTATTTTAAAAAATTATTTGGAAATTAAATTTTATTGTTATAAAATTGAACGTTAGATCGATTTTTAAAAGATGTAGGACATATGATAATAAGGAAGATTTTATCTTAAAAACCAATTAACGATATATTGAGAGCTTGTTTTTAAATTGTGTTATTATTTATTGAATAGATCACAAAATGTCAAAAATTTGAATTTAGTGAAATCAAAATTGTATTTGATATATTAGAATACTAATATTTAACGTCAACTTTTAATTAGGTAAATACAAATGATTTTTTTATTTTGACATTCAAATTTTCGCTGTTATAGACCGAAAATAGATTTTTTCGGTTTTCTCTTCAAATAATTGAAAGAATGATACTATTATAGGTTTATTATATTATATTATATAGCATATAATCATGCTATAGCCGAAAATTATAAGTTTTGAGAAGATTGAATATAACACAAATAAATTTGAATGTAAGTTAAATTGCTTGTTGTTTTTAATAGGTATTTAATGGGAAATCCAATATTGCAAAATTCAAATTGAATGATTGAAAGAACAGAAAAAGTCATTCTTTTCAATTTCGAATATGTTTCATTGTATTTATAATTATATGGCAAATAAGATATTTAAACTTGATTTTTGAAGGAAAATTCACAAAATTGAATACATTCAAATAATTTTTATTCAAAAATAAACTAGTTATTTGAGTTTAATACTAATTATCTATTCAAACTACAAAGTTTGTAATTTAAAATATTTTGTGAGATCAGATTGAATTAATTCAAGGTTCTTTTCAATTAGTATTAATGACCATATTACGCATTTTCGAACATTCTAAACCAAATATATAAAAATGGGAGACGAATGTTAAATTTGCTAGACATGGGGGAGTTGTCTGCAAAGTTTTAGCTCTTATCTCTAACAAAAAATTACTTTTTAAAAAAAAGACCGAATACGTTTCACAGCGAGAAAAAAATAAAAGGCAAGATAGAATTTTCTAGACATAAAGAAGTTGTTTACCGAGTTTTAGCTCTTATCTCTAACAAAAAATTAATTTTTAAAAAAAAGACCGAATACGTTTCACAGCGAGAAAAAAATAAAAGGCAAGATAGAATTTTCTAGACATAAAGAAGTTGTCTACCAAGTGTCAGCTGTTACTTCTTCTCAATACTGATATAAAATAAAAATCTTTATTATTTATTTAACCTTTCTTGTTTCATTAAACTTCATTTATTTTATATTATAGTTTTATTCTTTTAGCTACTTGTAAAATAATCTAATTTTATATCATCATTTTACCGGATTATTCTTCAGTACATCGATTGTGTAGGGCTGTACAAGATTTAAAAAAACATTGCCGGGTTACCGTAGAGGCCTAAAAAAAATCGCGCCTCGGCGGCAAGCCGCCTCGGCATTAAGAATGCGCATCTAAATTTTTATATGTCCTTCTTTCTTTTATTTTTCCCTTCCCTTCCTTTTCTTTTTCTTTTTTTCCCTCCTCTTGCTCTCATTTACCTTTTTTTCCTTTTCTCATCATTTTTCAAAATTTAAAATTTTTATCAAAAATCTTGCCTATAAAAGCAGATTATGGAACCTTTTAATGCCTCTTAATCAATATTATACAGCATAAAGCATATTAAATGAAAGTAATTACGTATAAATTTATTTTATTATCTTATTTATTAATTCTTTAGCATGTATTGTTTAATATTAACTTTTCTGTACATTAAATATGATATCTCCAAAGTATGAATGCCTTGTAACGAAACGAAAACTTAATTTTATGTTGAATATTTGTCACAAACATTAGATTATTAAAATATATGTTGGATATCCCTTAGTATGAGACTTCATGACTCTTGTTGTCTAACGTGAGCTTTGGATTGCAAGCTTGCTACAGCACATAAGTATTCTGTGGTTAAAAAAACCACATGAGCTTTAAAAACTATAAAACCAAAAATAATTGTTATAATTTAAATGAAGAAGTAATTTAAAACGATTTTATTTATGATCAAATTTTATATATTTTTTTGGATCAAATCCATTTTAATAGAATTTATATACTATTCATCTATTAGTAAACACTACCGTATATTATTTTTAAGCTATCTTATTTTTTGAAATTTTATTCAAATCTTTGGTCGCAAGAAGAATTGCATGATAAATAAAAACATTTAATCAAAGTCAATTTTATTTTTCATATTCAAATGGACTGAGTGTTAACATTTAACATTTTTTGCTAATTGTCGTCAAAAATTAGGCGTAAAGCAAAAATTGATATTTCATATGGTTTTATGATAGATAAGCATTATATTCCCACTCATTATATTCGTAAATTTTGAGGTTTATCCTTCGCTTTTAAGATCATTGAATTTGATTTTTATATAAAATAGTTATATATTAGAAAATAATATGAGTTTATGTGATATTATTTTTCAGAAGATTTCATTCTATATGCCTATGAAAAGTACTCTCAAAACTAACTTTTTCCTAATTAATTAAATCTAGAATATTGTATTATGCTTAGTATTATTTCATTTTTCTCATGCAATTTAGAATTTACAAATATCAAAAAAATGAGAGCTGTCACTTTTGATGAATTTCTGTTTATTACAGCATTGTTATTAATAATGAAAAATAAAGCTTATTTCAATGAAAATTGTTCTGCAAATTTATTTCACTTTTGACCTCACTTTTTCCGTAATTCAATTTTTTACTTTTAATATTTTAGATCTTCATAATATCATTTGAAAAATTAACCATATAAAAAAATCAAGTTATCAATTCACTTTTTCCGTAATTCAAAAATCAAAAATATAAATAATATATCTTTTTATCAAATATTATTATTATATTCTATGAAAAATGAGGTCCGGAAATTTTGCGGATTCCCGTAACTCAATTTTACGGAAAAAGTGCAGTAAACTATTCAAAATACGGAAAAATTGGTGTAAACTAATGATTTTACGGTAAAATCACGGAAAGTCCCGGAAGAATATATGTGCCTATATGAAATTATACAAAAATGAATCAAACGCATTTTAAAAGATTGTTC